CGCGAGTCTTTAACAATAGCGATAATGTAATAATAATAATAATAACTATTTCCCCTCAGTTTTAAAAGCTTCATGTTGTAAACACACTTGTAACATAAAGTCACTTTATTATTATTACTATTATGAGCCACATTTTCCCTGTATTTTATAACATATAATACGATTTAATAACTTTTAAAATACGCGCAAATTCCCCTTTGGGTGTTTTGTAAAATGCAATATGGGTTTATAATTTTTAACGCGTGAGTTAATTTCCTTTGTGGCTTAGAAATTGCAGTAGTATTAGTAAATCATTTTTAAATATACGAGTTTTACTGTTCCATGTATTCTAAAACACACACACTAGCGGTTTATCCCTCGTAAGAAATGGCTGGATTTCCCCTGTGTTTTCTAATATAGTGAAGCCACTTATTTATAAACGCCAGCTCGCTCTCCCCCAGCCAGACCGTGTGTGTGTGTGTGTGGGACAAATTGATCGCCTCGTGTACTGCTGTCCGGGGAAGGCTGGAGGGTAAATCCTTCCCTTGTTGGAAATTGACGAGGAAATCCTCTCAATATTTTTGGGGGATGAAACTTAAATACGATTTATTATGCAGGAGAGAATTTAAATATAAATCGATTTCTTCGTGAAAATTGAAAAATGAAATAATTATTTATGGACAATTATAATTAAATTATATCTATAATGAATTGTGAAAATTAAATCCACTTTCATAACTAAAAAAATTATCTCATTAAAAAAAAAAAGATCAATATTTCCATGATAATTTAAAGCTTGTCCCATGTTTTTTTGCTGCGTTAGTTACCCCTATGAATGTCCCACCTGGGGGACCGACTCAATTGTTTTAAACTATTTTGTGGATAATTTCGTACGTGATAAATATTTGTAGGCTAATCCAGTAATCCTCTTTACCTGGGAATTTTTTCAGGGGTGATTATATATCCTCCCTTTAGATTATTATGGAGTTTGTGCTAATCCTTATTATTAATGAAACTCAACTCTTTCAATTGTGTTTATATGTCTGTCTCTCAGGGTGTCTGTCTGTCTGTTTGTCTGTCTGTCTGTCACTCCACCAACGCCAGGTAGATGCCAGTCTTGTGATGCTGACTGGTCTGTTGGCCCCAACCTAACCTAACCGTTGTGACTGGGGCCCTTTCCTAATGGGCACCAATTAGGTGAGGCCACAGTGTTAAGGGGCCCATGAGGATTAGTGCCCATAAGGATTTGGGTTCATTAGCATTAGGGTCCATTAGGACTATGGCCAATTTGTACTGGGGCCTAATTATACTGCTGGCTAATCACAATGGTTTGATTTGGTTAGGTTTGGGCCCATGTCACTTGCAGCTATTGAGAGCACCATAACAACACCGTCAGCACGAGCAGTCATCAGCGTCTGGCGTTTATCTCTACCCTGCATTGACTCAAGTACGGAAATTACACCTGACGAACGTACGACCGTAATTATCCGTATTGGGCATGACGTTATATATATTCTCATGATATTAAAACAACTTGGCAACTTTAGCTCTGTTTACTTAGTCGCAATTTCCTCCTTTCATGACCTGACTGATATTCTTTGCACCGGAAAGTTTATCAGGTACGGTTTAACGCAGCAATGGGTATAGTTCTTAACCATCCTTGTGTGTGTGTGTGTGTGTGTGTGTGTGTGTGTGTGTGTGTGTGTGTGTGTGTGTGTGTGTGTGTGTGTGTGTGTGTGTGTGTGTGTCCCCAACTTTGTGAACCCAGTAACTCTAGGGAACTTGCAGAGGCTGTCATGGATATTACCTCTCTTCCCTCTCACACTATCTCTCCCTCTCTCCCTTTCTCCTTTCTCCCTCTCACCTCGCCACTCTCACGCACCCTCCCCCTCACTTTATCTCACCCGCTCCCCATTTTACATCCTCCCATTCATTTTCTTTCTTCCTACTCTCCCATCCTCCCCCCCTCCGTCTCCACCCATCCCTATTCTTTTTCGCCCATCTTTCCACTCCTAAACCCTCCCGTCTTCCCTCCCATTACTACTTATCTCACCCCGCTTCAACCTTCTCTCTCCCCGTCCATCTAGCCACTTCCTCTTCTTACTTACTAACCCTTCCTTCTCTCCCCTCCTCTCATCTACCCCGTGTTCTCTCCTTCTCCTTCCCTCCCTCTCCCACCCGCTCCATCTTCTCTTCCTTCGTCTTCCCTAAATCCCGTCTCTTACCAGCGCTGGCCAGCTTGGATGGGTGCCACGTCCACTCACACTGGCGGGACACGACATAAAGGATAAGAAAAGGACTTTACTCCGGCCATTGTCTGCAGCCTTCATACAGGACACCCACAACGAATTTTACTTTTTCCTTAAAAGAAAATCGGAAGTGCATGTGTACAAAGGGTTTTATGCTAATTAGTACATCGGGGGAGATTGAGACGGGCGGGAGGAAGATCGTGTAAGTGTTCCATTGTCCAGGACGTTAAACTGATGATAGCTTGTACGACAGGATGATATAATTACTAGTATAATTGGTAAATTCCCCCAAGAAATTATAATTATAAGTATACGTAATGGTCGCTAAGAACTCGAAGTCTGTCACACAGGATAATAAGTAGTAATGTTTCTGTGAATGATGACAAACCTCTCGGTGTGTCTCACTGCCTGATAGTCAACAACAGACCTTGATATCTGCCCCCTGGAACACCATGCCAATAATCAGTGAACAAAACAATAAGCTACAGACACACTACCTCCCTAACACTCAAGACGACTGACTGACTGTGGCCATAACTCACATAACTTAGTAAAGGGAAATACTCATTATTGAACTCCTCCAAGACTGTGTTGAGTCGTGTCCGTATACCAAGTTTTATTGAAGGCTGATTGTATTTGTTTGAATTATCGCATGCACAGTTTTGATGCACCGATGGAGAGTATTTCCCAAGGCTCGAACCACTGATCCTTAGGATAGGTGGTGAGCGTTGTACCCACTCAGCCGCCACATCCTTACCAACTGATAGAAATTCCAGATTAACGAGTGTTTGGAGATATAAGTGGTTAATGTTTTACGGGGAGCGACGGTAAAGTCAGTCAGTCAGTCAGTGAAGACGCCATACTCATGTCTAAGGGATGGCTACCATTTTCAGGATGTCTTTGTGACTCTTTATTATGACACGAAAACTGGGTGTCACACAAACTAAAATTAATTAAATAACTCCTAACTAAAAGTAACCTAATACCTAATTAATCTAATTAAATATCAGTAATTAATTAGCTGGAAATAGTAACTATCTAATATATAACTAAAACCAATTAATATAAAGTAAGATTAACTGACAGTAAATAAATGTAGAAGGTTTGGAGTGGACAGGTTCAGTTGAGGTTCAGGGGCGGTAAGATCCCAGAATCCCCGACTGCTTTGAGGCGTCTATCCTCCTCCCAACCAATGGGAGATGGAGAAATCAATAAATGGAAGGGAGGAGGAAGATGCTTGGGGTTTATCACCGTGATGAATGGTGTGCCGGAGGACCCGCGCCGGCCAGGGATCACCAGGACTCTGACGGGGTGATTTTTCCGTCTCCGGCGAAGTCAACGAATTTAGTGGTGAAATGTTATCCTGGCCAACCAAGGAGGAGAAGAAAGAAGAAGAGGAGGAAGAAAAGAGGCGGCTGTGGCGGCCTGCTTCATTTGGTAGTTTACGTCTGTCGTTTTCTTCGAGGATATAAGAAAGAACAGAAGCTAAGGTTGAGTTTCTTTCGCGACGTAAGTTACCTCTCCTGACTTACTGAATAAGAGGAATTTTCTCTCGTGCCTCCGGCTTCTCATTGCACCCCCGGCTTTCACCAAGTAGGTATTCGTCATAAACACAGTCGACGAACTGTTACAAATTAACCTTGTTTGTAATAGTGATGTTGTAGAGTAGTTTATGTTGGTGTACCACCTCGTACTGTGCCTCACCTGTGTGGTGTACCTCGTACTGTGCCTCACCTGTGTGGTGTACCTCGTACTGTGCCTCACCTGTGTGGTGTACCTCGTACTGTGCCTCACCTGTGTGGTGTACCTCGTACTGTGCCTCACCTGTGTGGTGTACCTCGTACTGTGCCTCACCTGTGTGGTGTGTGTGGTGCACTGTGCCCTGCACTGTGCCTCACCTGTGGTGTGTACCTCATGTACTGTGCCTCACCTGTGTGGTGTACCTACTGTGCCTCACCTGTGTGGTACCGCTACTGTGCCTCACCTGTGTGGTGTGTGCACTCACCGTGGTACCTCACCTGTGTGGTGTACCCTGTACTGCCTCACCTGTGTGGTGTACCGCGTACTGTGCCCCATGTACCCTCACTGTGGCTCACCTGTGTGGTGTACCTCGTACTGTGCCTCACCTGTGTTATGTACCGCGTACTGTGCCTCACCTGTGTGGTGTACCGCGTACTGTGCCTCACCTGTGTGGTGTACCTCGTACTGTACCTCACCTGTGTGGTGTACCTCGTGCTCTGCCTCACCTGTGTGGTGTCATGGAGATGTGAGGCGGGAGAACCATTGTCATGGAGGAGGGTCGCTGATGTGAGGAGGGAGACAGGAGAAGGAAGAGCTTGTTGGGGGTGAGGTTGCAAGGATGTTAGGATTTCCTGGAGGGGGGGGGGTGCGGAAAGACTCGGGATATCCATGCGGTAATGCGCGATTTACCCAAACTTTCCCGGAGTTCGTTCCGAGGGATCATCTGCGCCGTGGACCCAGAGACACCTTGGAGGGCGCCCTGGGTAGAGAGAGAGAGCTGTGGGGGTGATGGGTGAGTCCCTTATTCAACATTCCTGTGCAGCAGCAGTTTTTAAGACCTGGTCGTAATTCTCACAGAAAACTTTTTACAAAATGATACGAAATCAAATCTGAAGCTTAATAAAAAAAGGTTGGACTGTTTTTTTGATGGAATTTTTCTTCGAGTTTAGAATTACATTACCATTTGATCTATACCCTCGTGTGTTTGTATTTCAATAATTCATTTAATACAAACCGAAGCCAACTCGAACGATGGTGTGTTTTGAAAGTGACTCAGAAGCTGGCGACACAGAGAGAAAGCGTAAAAGTTGTGTCAGTGGATTTAAGCCGTGAAAGTACAACAAAAGTAATGGTAGAGGATACGGACAGGAGGCAACATAAATAAGATGACTGGAACACTTTGCACCACAAGTCTTCAACTGTGAAAAGACAAGAAAATGTACCCCAAGAAAAAAAAATCTAAAACGAAAGAGCAGGAAATGTTGCAACAGAAGATTTTAGCAATGAAAGACACCCCCCCCCCTCAAACTTGTTTCGAAGGCTTCAAAAGTAACGGCCAAGAGGAGTCATTTAAAAAGCTTCAGCAACGAGAGAAGGAAAGTCATAGCACGTGGCTTCAACAGTGAGAGACAAGTAAGAAGGCTTCAAAAGTCAGGGACCATCACTAGTTGTGTCTCAGCAGGTCAGGGCAGTGGTTGAAGCACCAGTGTCAGTAACAACACAGCATGAAGCACCAGTGTTAGTAACAACACAGCATGAAGCACCAGTGTTAGTAACAACACAGCATGAAGCACCAGTGTCAGTAACAACACAGCATGAAGCACCAGTGTTAGTAACAACACAGCATGAAGCACCAGTGTCAGTAACAACACAGCATGAAGCGCCAGTGTCAGTAACAACACAGCATGAAGCACCAGTGTCAGTAACAACACAGCATGAAGCACCAGTGTTAGTAACAACACAGCATGAAGCACCAGTGTTAGTAACAACACAGCATGAAGCACCAGTGTCAGTAACAACACAGCATGAAGCACCAGTGTTAGTCAGTAACAACACAGCATGAAGCACCAGTGTCAGTAACAACACAGCATGAAGCACCAGTGTCAGTAACAACACAGCATGAAGCACCAGTGTCAGTAACAACACAGCATGAAGCACCAGTGTCAGTAACAACACAGCATGAAGCACCAGTGTCAGTAACAACACAGCATGAAGCACCAGTGTTAGTAACAGCACAGCATGAAGCATCAGTGTTAGTAACAACACAGCATGAAACACCAGTGTCAGTAACAACACAGCATGAAGCACCAGTGTCAGTAACAGCACAGCATGAAGCACCAGTAACAACACAGCATGAAGCACCAGTGTTAGTAACAACACAGCATGAAGCACCAGTGTTAGTGTAACAACACAGCATAGCACCAACACAGCATGAAGCACCAGTGTTAGTGCATGAAGCACCAGTAACAACACAGCATGAAGCACCAGTGTTAGTAACACAGCATGAAGCACCAGTAACAACACAGCATGAAGCATCAGTGTTAGTAACAGCACAGTGTGAAGCACCAGTAACAACACAGCATGAAGCACCAGTGTTAGTAACAACACAGCATGAAGCACCAGTGTTAGTCACAGCATGAAGCACCAGTGTCAGTAACAACACAGCATGAAGCACCAGTGTTAGTAACAACACAGCATGAAGCACCAGTGTCAGTAACAACACAGCATGAAGCACCAGTGCCAGTAACAACACAGCATGAAGCACCAGTGTCAGTAACAACACCGCATGCAGCACCAGTGTCAGTAACAACACAGCATGAAGCACCAGTGTTAGTAACAACACAGCATGCAGCACCAGTGTCAGTAACAACACAGCATGAAGCACCAGTGTCAGTAACACAGCAAGCACCAGTGTCAGTAACAACACAGCATGAAGCACCAGTGTTAGTAACAACACAGCATGAAGCACCAGTGTTAGTAACAACACAGCATGAAGCACCAGTGTTAGTAACAACACAGCATGAAGCACCAGTGTTAGTACTGGTACAGCAGAAGACAGCAGACTCTGGGCCGGCTGCAGCAGGAAGAACAGCAGGGGGGATTTTGAATTAAGGGAGAAAGAGCGGCGGAGGCAGCCACTGGAATTTACTGCTATGGCCGCCACGAAGAGACTCGACTGTAAATGGCACTGTACGATTTTTGTCCTTCTTCATGTAGGCAGAGGAAACGTGGAAGTTTATGACCGGGCGACGCTGTTCTCTGCACCGTGGAGGCTGACAGCTCAAGCCCAACTCCGAGTTAAAACTCCAAAAATCGTAAGATCAGACGTTGGTCATGTGGCTCTCTGTAGGCTGACGCCCTCAGCCCAGCGATCACCAAAGACACCAGCATGGACTGATCTAAAGTTATCACATATCCTTCACAGCAAGGATACGGAGAACGTTAAGTTAATATCCAGAAATCATAGCGTTGGGCAGTAGCTGTTTTTACTCTCGACAGCGGGGAGAAAGTTGAGGCTGGTGGAGACGCAGCGCTCTGACGGAAGGTTTTATCTTCCAGAAACTATGGGTAAAAAAATGGGAGATACAAAAAACCCTAAGACCATAACTCACTGAGACACGATGAGAGAAACATTAACACCAGTTTATTGTCCAGCAGGAGGATGTCCTAAAAGTGGTCTGGGATATGTGGAAGAAGACCAGTAAGGTTCTGGGTGTCGGTGAACGTACATACAGCTGCACCAGAGTCTTTTGATGGTGAGTTACGATCTTCGCTGGACCAAGAGGAGCTGGAGAAGGAAGGAAGGTGGGAGAGTGGGAGAGAGGGAGAGAGTGTAGGTGTGATGGTGGTAGTGGAGTCGTGAGTGGAGAGGGAAGTCACCGACGACGTGGGGCTTAATGTCTCGCCAGGAACGACGGGGGTACGCCATACAGACACAAACTTTAGTCGTAAATATGACGTACTGGACTGAAAGGGGACAAGGTCTATTCTCTTTGGTATAAAGGTGTTTATTGTTGGAGTTTCACGTCTGTTATATTGTGGGTGTGGCGTGTAGGCTCAGATTCTGGTTACGTTAGCAGCTGATGGTCTGTGGGTGTTAGTGTGTGTGTGTGTGTGTGTGTGTGTGTGTGTGTGTGTGTGTGTGTGTGTGTGTGTGTGTGTGTGTGTGTGTGTGTGTGTGAACTCATCTTGTTTCCCTGATTAATTCTTTAGGATGGTGAACATAAAGTGTTAATCCTTATAGTGTGTATGAATATAATTATCTGGGGTATTTTAGCAGCAGCGGGGAGTGGATGCTTATACAGTATAACGTATAATAGGAATTTCTTATGAGGATATTTGTCGTGAGGATGAAAGGCCGGATAGACAGAAGCAGTAGAGATGAGACACACGGTAAACATCATTACGAAATACACTACACCCGACCCAGAAGGACCTTGGCTGATGCGTTTTTGTTTTGAAGCTGTGAGTTTAACCTTTGATCTGTTAACCCAGAAAAAAAAAGAAGCTTACGAGTTTTAGAAGTTATTATTATTAATTTATATTTGTCAGGTGTACATCGTAACTCGATCTGTTCCCGAGTCCTGATATAAATGTAAATATTCGCCCATCTACCAGCTAAATGATGATCTTGTAAACCTTGAAGTTTCCGAGTTATTGCTCCTGACAGACATATTTACCAGACGACGACACTGACCGCTCGACTGAAGGCGAATCCGAGGTGCCTTAAGCCAAAAGGAAAATCGACATAGTTGTGTGCAGTAGAATGTAAGTTATTGCGCCAGGAACACTGTGCCTCTCAAACACAACATTGCAATAATAGACACCCAGAGCTTATGTGTGGACTCCCGAGTTAGCAAAGCGCCGCCTCTGCCTGAATTTAATAGTGCGAGAAGGTTTTCATCATTTTTGTGCGCCTACCTGAAGCTTCTGCTGTAAAACTGTGTTTGTGTTTAGACTGTAAATGTGAGTCGTGCCTTAATGAATATACCTAATACGTTGAAACTTGTGCATGGAACAGTGTAATGTAGAGACGTGTTGTCCCCCCCCCCCTCACAAAGTTGTTATAGTGTAAACAACTCACACACACACACACACACACACACACACACACACACACACACACACACACACACACTAATGTTTCTACTCTTCTTATAATACAAGTTTATTCATACATAAACTCTAATGATATATTTTGTTTATTTTCAGGTAAGCAGCACAGAGGTCAAGTTGTCCTGCCCCACACTGAGGAGGACAAGGTGTTGGTGACGCGTCTTGGCCGAGGACATTGGTATAGTGAGCTCATGTCCGTCGTATACAGTATACAGGTATATACATCAAGTTTGACGAGGTGTGTTTGTTTCTGTGTATAAGTTTAATGAATATGCATAACGTATACATATCCGGTACATTGTTTTGTAGTGAAGAACACAATGTTGGCGGGAGCGGTCGAGTGGATACTGCACTTGCCTTTTGTCCTAAGGGTCGTTGGTTCGCTCCCAGGGTACTCTCCCAGCTGTGAATGGGTACTTAACTTTACAGCTGGTATAAATGAAGATGGTGGAGTGCAGTGCTGGCCTTGCTGACTCCTTGTGTACTGAAGAAAAGGCTTAATCTGTACTGTAGTTTCTTCTGTCTGCTACAGCACTCACCCCAGCCTACTTTACTACAGACTTCAGTGAGAGATTTGACTCGTCTCTTGGTGGTTGTGATCGTAAGTCACTAAGTTTATTCTCCCACTCTCTCCCATCACACGTCCCTATCCTCCCCACCCATACGACTCACACCTCCCCATCCACCCATCCATTGATCTCCTCGTCCGCCCATCTACCCCTCATCCTTCTCCCAATTCATCCACCTACTCAACCCAACCTACACCTCGTCATCCACCCAATCCATACCACCTCATCCACCTACCTTCACATCGACCTCTTCATCCTCCTACCCCCTACTGAGAGTCAGGCGAGTTTCTTCACGGAGATATTTTGGACTGCCCAAGACTATTGATTCTGGACGAAATCCCTTTGGCCCGGAGCACTCGGAAAGTTTGCTGCGCTTGTGAACGTCTCAGGAGGGAGGGAGTAGAGGAAAAGGGGGGAGGAGAAGTGGGGGGAGAGTCGTACATATAGGAAATCTATAAAAGTTGTACAAATAGTTATATCTTTATCTACCAGGAGGTTAAGTAAATCCCGTCCGTCTATTCTCTCTCTCTGTGTCTCTCTTCCTTGTTCTCTCTCTTCATTGTTCCCTCTCTTCATTGTTCTCTGTCTTCCTTGTTCTCTCTCTTCCTTGTTCCCTCTCTTCCTTGTTCTCTCTCTTCCTTGTTCTCTCTCTTCCTTGTTCCCTCTCTTCATTGTTCTCTCTCTTCCTTGTTCTCTCTCTTCCTTGTTCTCTCTCTTCCTTGTTCTCTCTCTTCCTTGTTCTCTCTCTTCCTTGTTCTCTCTCTTCCCACTATCGCCTCTTCTCCTCTCTACCATCTCCTCTCCTCTTCTCCTCGATCTCCTCCTTTCACACCTCTTTATCTGTTGTCTCTTCTCAATCCTACATTCTCTTTATTCTTTGTTTATTCATTTCTTCTCCCCTCTTCTCTTCTTCTCTCCCTCTCCATGTCTTCTCATTATACATTCCCCTCTTCCTTCTCTCATCATCGCCTTCACTTTCTCTCTCATTTCGATTTCTCACCACTTAATATTTTTGTTCTCACTTCCTCCATTTTCTTTTCTTCTCTCCTTCCATCCTATCCCATCTCTCTCTCTCTCTCTCTCTCTCTCTCTCTCTCTCTCTCTCTCTCTCTCTCTCTCTCTCTCTCTCTCTCTCTCTCTCTCTCTCTCTCCTTCCTTTCCATCTACCCAACCTACCCCTTTCTGCCCATTCCTCCTTCATTTCCCCCCACTATCCGCGTTTCTCTCCTTCCTTCCTTTCCTGTTTCCTTCTTCCTTTTCTCCCTCCCCCCACCCACCCACCTCCACCCCTCTCCATAATCTGTACCCCCTCAGTTTAATACAGGTACAGTACATAACGTCTCCAGGGCACGCGTGGGTCCTGGACTGTATTAATAGTGTTTATGGCAGTAAGGGGCAAGGTGGGTGTGTGTGCAATGTTGTGTGTGTGTGTGTGTGTGTGTGTGTGTGTGTGTGTGTGTGTGTGTGTGTGTGTGTGTGTGTGTGTGACGTCACCCTCTTCCGGCCACCCCCCTCCCATCATGACGTCACCCTCTCCAAGCCACCCCTCCCATCGTGACGTCACTGGTTAATGGTCGTTCCTGAAGTAGATTATATTGTCCAGTGTTGATCTGAATATAAATAATCTTTCTAGTTGTTTTTCTTCTTTTCCTCGTTTATCCATCGTTCTATCTCCCTTCTTCTTGTCCCTGTGTCTCCCGTGTTCGTAGCTTTCTCTGCTTGTCCTTGCCACTTCCTTCTCCGTTAATTATCTTATGGTTATTCCTGTCTTTGTGTCTTATATTTTCCTGCGTTTCTCTTCTTCTTCTTGTAGTTCTTTTTCTTCCTCTTCTTAATTTAACTCCCCCCTTGCATATTTTTCGTCTTTCCTCCTTCTCTGTTTCTTCCCGTCTTGCTGTTGTTCCTCCTTCACTCTCCCTTCCCTCGTATCTAACTCCATCATCATAATTATCACCATTTATCTCTCTTCTCCTTCTTTATCTCTTCCCTTACTTGTCTCCTATCTCTTATGTTTCCCCATTACGTTCTCCTCTCCCTGTGTCTCCTCCTTCTCTATATCTCTATCTTGATCTCCTCCATTCTATGTCTCTCACTTTGTCTCTCTCCTCTATGTCTATTTCTGTCTCATCCTTCTCTATGTCTCTCCATCTTTATTTGTCTCTTTTCTTTTTTCTCTCTAGTTCCTTCCTCTTGGCTCCTTCTTCAGTGTTATTTCCTTCGCGTCTCTCTCTCTCTCTCTCTCTCTCTCTCTCTCTCTCTCTCTCTCTCTCTTTCTCTCTCTCTCTCTCTCTCTCTCTCTCTCTCTCTCTCTCTCTCTCTCTCTCTCTCTCTCTCTCTCTCTCTCTCTC